CTTTTGTTATGCTAATAATTACGAGGTATTTATGATATAATATTGTCCATAACATCGACAACAGCATATCCCTACAGGACCACACATACCTCACATCCTGCTCTGTGCAGTCTTTTTTTGTAAGCTTTGTAAGGCCATGTCGCCTTTTTGTTTTTGTCTTTTAATAAATATGTTATTTTTTATTATTCCATCTGAGTTCCTCGTGCCAGTCGGTATTTGGGTCCCTACTTGTTTAAAAGTTCAGGAGTGTGATCTCAGAATGTCCACATGCAGGAAGTCAGTAACAGTTATGAAAGAATAAAGGGGTTCTTTAATAAAAACACATCACAAATATGTGAATACACAAGTCAAAAACACAAAAAAATTAATGCGCTCTCTAATCTACCTTGTCTTTGTCAATGCCAATGTTATTTATAAAGCACTTTAAAAAAAACAACGATCAACTGCACCAAAGTGTTGCACAGAATTCATAAAACAATTGATAAAAACATATTGAATTAAAACATTAAATTAAACATATAAGACACATAGAATACAATGTAAACCCTTATAAAAATGACAGAGAATAAAAATGAGTTTTCAGAAGAGATTTGAAGTGTCCAGACTCTGGGCAGAACTAATATTGAATGGTAAGTTGTTCCACAAATTGGGAGCAGTGACAGCAAATGCCCGGTCTCCTCTGCTTTTAAATCTGGTTCTGGGAACGTGTAGAAGCATTTTATAATTTGACCGAAGTGAAGAGGAGCAGTCATGTAAAAGATCCTTAAAGGGATCCCTGATTAGTTGTAACATTAGACTTTATTTAATAAACATATTTTAACTATAAAATAAAGACTGTAAAAACACTGTAGGCTGTTTAGTTTTGTAAGTTTTCAAAAATATATTTTAACACAGACAGACCCATTTTATTTCCACACAAAGCATTCTGGGTAAATGATGACGTGGATAGGTCCTCGGTGCGAGGCTGCTAGCGAGCTATATCCACCCTGAAGGTTAATCTTGGACAATGGCTGTGTCCAAAATGACAGGCCAGGTCCTCCGAAGGCCGAATTTGTCGGCCGCATACGTCACAGCGCCGCGACAAAGGCCGTCCAAGACCGAAGACTCCTCTGATGCTGCCGACAAATACGTCTTTCCTTGGGCCCGAATCAAGAGAAAATACGTTTTAAATAAAAAATATGGCGATATAAAAATTTAAAATTTCTAGCGGTTGTAAGTCTAATACTTTTATCATTTGTATAGACATGTTTTTAAATATTATTTTTGTCATAAAAAATGCATATATGAAGTACATACCGGTACATATATATGGCGATAGCATCGGAGCTAACACTAAAGCTAACAGGCTAATCTGAGGTTGTTCTTCCATGAAGCAGCTCTGTTG